CTTTCCTGTCCCAGCACCCCACGCAGGGGTGGCAATACAATTCGTTGAAGTTGGGGCTGAAGCGCTAGTTTGGTAGGATGTGTTGGGGGAGGGCATGTAGGCCCTAAAGAGGGCCAGGGAGTAGGAGACTCTGAGAGTTAGAACCCACTTTGAGGTTTAATGGACAGCAATCTCCCAGACAGAAGCTGGAGGGTCTTGTACCTGCTGTGGGACAACTGTACAAGGTGTCCCCAAGAACACACCTGGAGTGGGCTAAGGCTGTGGGAAACCCCAGCCATCCCTGCACTGGCAAATTCCCAAAGACCTTCAGATCAGCCCATGCCTGTCTGTTGGATCAGAACCCAGCAGACAGAGCTAGAAGAATCTAGCTCCCGGGGACCCTGATCGCAAAGAGCACGTGTGCACGTCTGAAAGAAGTAGGTTCCATTCTGGGCTCCTCTGTTTTTTGCCTGTGAGACACCCAAGCAAGATAATACACGTGGGGGAGGGAGAGGGGCAAGTCTCCCATATACTGACGCTTGCAACAAAAAAATACTTAGGTATTCCTGGAATTTTTAAACTCCCTATGATAAAAATTATCTAATCTAATGTGTCTTAGTCACCTTAGTTCAGAGATGAAAGACACAGGGGAGAAAGGAACTATGGGAGCAGAGGCGGTTACCTGCGTGGGGGAGGAGGGGGAGGGAGCCATCCACACAGCTGATTCTTGAACTAGGCTGGAAGAAGGAGCAGAGCTACCCGGCTTCAGCCCTTTCTGAAAACACATAAGCCAAAGCTCAGAGGGATGAGGTGTCGGAGGAGGGGGGAGAACTGGCTGACATACGGTGGGCTTAGAACACAAAGGAATGCCTGGGTTTGGTGGGGGAGAAACAGAACAGTCAGAGCTGCACTTGCTAGTTTCTGGAAATAAAAAAAAAAAACTATCTTACTGACTTGATGGAGGGAGGGAGGGAGGGAAGGGGAAAAGGTGAGTCAGTGGGTGTATGAGTAGAAGGGTGGGTGGGTGGGTACATGGGCTGCTGTCTCCCAGTGCCGCAGTCACCCAGCCGTGGTGGGCCATGCTGCCTGTGTTCACAGGGGACTCCAATGCCAGCTGGGTCTTCCCAGGGCTCCTGCCTGGCCCTCAGCTTTTAGCAGGCCTTGCATGCCTATAGTGCAGAGGGGTCCCTCTTCTTACTCTCATCCTCGCCTTTGCTTTGGACTACTCTGATGGTTGCTCAGGGTGAGGCTCGAGCGGGGGCCAGGGGAACATTGGCTCTCTGGCTGCGGCCTGGGTTTTAGGGAGGTCCTGTGCTCCTGAGCCTCAGGAGTGGGGCTTTTTCAGCATCTTTGGAGCTTTAATGTGAAGGAATTCCTTGCAAGAGCTCGGGGAACACCCCGAATCTGGGGTAGCCCAGACAGTAGTGGACTGGCTGAGAGGCACGGCAGTAGAGACAGAAAGTGGAGACAGCTCTTGGACACCAAGGCAGGGGGAGGAAGGGGACCAGGGTCCACACATAGGATCCCACAAAGATCCCAGAAGAGATACAAGGAGAGATTGGAGAGACAGCCAGGGAGACATCCAGTCCAGGATGGCGGGAGCAGCAGGGCAGCTGACCGAGAGGAGGATGGGAGCTATCCCTGCCACCAGGACGAACACCTTGTCCCCTCCACTTGTGGTTGACCCATGGGCACTCACCGTCTGGAGCAGGTCCTAGTCGTGCACCGTCCTCGGCACCCCCTCAGCCACCCCCCCCCATGCCAGCTGCTCCTTCTAGTGTTTGGGGAGCTTAGGGGGGCCATCCTTGGTGCAGGAGAAGATTCAGGGCCATAGCGTCATCTTGTTGCTTGGCTCTCAGGCCACCACCTTCCCAAGGAATTTGGGAGTGCCTGGGGAAGGCCACAGAACCTCCCTTGGGTCTTAGCGTGTCCCAGAACTCCTTACCTTTCCCGGAACCCCATGCTGCACCCCTTGGGGCATGTGGAGGGAGCCTGCGGCCGGGATGGGGGGGGCCTGTTTCAGCTTTGTCATCAGCCCGTGAGTTCCTCCCTGCTTCTCAGTCCCCTGCTGTTGTCCATACCCCTCCCTGTCCCTCTTCCCTCAGAAGCAAAGGAAATATCAGAATCAGACTTCAACTTCCAGGCGGAAAAGAGCCACAGCTTTGGGAAATGGGTCTTTTCCCCAAGAGCCCCAAGATAGCTGCTTTTTCTGGAGTCTGGATCTGCCAAAATGTGCAAAGGAAAAGCCAGGGAAACAGAGACAATGGGAGGAAATGGGGAAGACGATACAACTCCCATTTATTAAGTCTTCTTTGTGTTTCTGGCCCGAGTGAGCAACGTACTTGCATTTATCATCCCGTTCAGTCCTCACAACCACTCGGCAAAGTGGGTTCTATCATTGTACCCATTTTACAGAGAAGGAGAATGTGCAACAAGGCCACATAACCATAAGGGTGAAGGAAAAGAGGATGGAAAGCTGGAGAGATGGACAGATGGATGGATGGAAGGATGGAAGGATGGTGGGGAGGAGGGAAGAGCGCGTACCGAGGCCCCGCAAAGCACCACACCTTCTGCTCTATGAGTTCTCATGCGTTAGCTCTTTTAATTGCCAAAACAATCACACACCATGCTATTATTATCCTCCTTTTACTGAAAAGGAAGCAGAAATTCAAAGAGGCCGTCTCTTCCACCAAAGCTGAGGCACGAGGCGTGGAGGTCCCTCGAGCCCGGCTATCTGGTTTCACAGACTTCCTCAGGGCCTCCCGTGCCCACAGCAGACGAGGACTCCAGGAGGCCCGGACCTCCTCACAGCCTCGCCCTAGCATCTGACCCAAAGACAGCCAGGAGGGGCTGGAGTTAAGGTAAGGCTGCACCTGAGCCCCACTCTAGCCTAGGTCCTGAGCACCGACTCCCCCAACACACAGTGGGAGTTTCCTAAAAGAGTGTTTCCCAGACTGGTGCCCCCCGCAGCCCGCCCCTGAATGCCAGCGCCCTGTAATGCTTTCCGAAACTAAAGAGGTCCGTGATCAGCTGGGTTGGCAAAGTACTACATACTCTAGTCCCACTTGGAGACCATATCACAGGCTCTGAGAAGTCTGTAGGGAAGAATGAGCCTCAGCCTTTTTTCGGGGAGTCAGTGTTCACCCATGTTATTTGAACACGGAGCCCTTTTCCTCTGTGCCACCTGTGAGCGCCACATAGGACTGACGGCCGGCAGTCCCCACTCCAGTGAGCCCCGATTTCTTTCAGGGCTCATCTGCTTTCTCTAGGGAAGAAGTCCAGGAAAGCCTCGGTCATCACTGTCGTCGTCACGGCAGGCAGCATGTGGCATCATCATGGAAGGGACGGCTAAGTCGATGAATGAGGGGCCATGATGGCGGCCGTGGGCTGAGATCGTGGAATGGAGGCAGCTCCAGTTACGGCTTCTCCTTTTCTTTTCTTTATTTCTTTTTTAAGTAAGCTCTCCACCCAAAGTGGGGCTCGAACTCATGACCCTGAGATCAAGAATCGCATGCTTGCTTTACTGACTGAGCCAGCCAGGTGCCATTCGGGGCCTTTCTGCTGGGTTCCGGGAGGATCAGGATGGGCAGGTGGAGGGCCGGCATGGGTTGCCTGCCTGAGGGAGGAGGGAGGCTTCAGCCTCTAGTCTCCAGTCCTCGAGAGTCTCAGGGACTCTCCCTCTCTCAGTCTGGAGGCCCCTTCTTGGGGGGAGATCGCAGAGTCCAGGGACAGCCAGGAAACCCTTCGTCACAAGACCAGGAACTGTTTCCTGGGCTTGTGGCAGCTCAGAGAGCTCTGACCAGTGCCGGTCACGAGGCTCACTCTCTATGCTGTGAGAATAAAAAGTATCCCGTGGGTGCAAACACAGACACATACATGTGCACATGTGTGCGCGCACACACACACACGTATGCCAAGATGTGTGGCCCGAGAGCTCCAGTCCAGGGGCAGAAATGCGCTGAGCCCACAATCACCCTTAGAGGGGAGATCGTCAAGTGCCCTGGAGAGGTTTCATGGGACCCTTAGCACTGCGAGAGCCACAAAGGAAGAAGCAGGCATCCCCTACCTGGGGTCAGGATCTCCAGGGAGCAGAGGAGGTGGGAGTTACAGAGTTCAGAGGAGGAGCTCCCCAAGCCAAACCAGACCCCTGGGCTGAGAGCTGGCAGAGCCTGCGTGGGGGCACAGAGGCTGAGCGCTGGGCCTCCTCCCTCGGATCCCGCGGGGCTCGCGTTCCTTCGTTCCGGCGCTGGCTCATCTATTCATTCACTCATCCGCTCCCTCCCGCAACAAGTATGCTCAGTGCCTATCCGGTGGGCTCTCCAGTCCAGGTGCCTGGGACGCAGGACGGAAGAAGAAGACAAACAGGCCGCAGATTTGCAAAGCTTCGGTTTCAGGGGAGAAGGCAGACAATAAGTGATTCGAGAAATGACTATCTTCAGACAATGATTCACACACACAACTACGCAGCAGAGCGGAGCGTCTGGGATACGCAGCGCCTGGGCGGGCCTCTGGGAGGCGCTGACAGCCAGCGGCCATCCCAGGGCCCAGCGGCAGCCCTCCAGGGGGGTGGGCAGGTTTCTAGAGGGGGAGGGCGGTGAGCTCACCGGCCAGAGGGAGGGAGCCGAGGCCCGCAGGCAGGGAGGACAGGGGGAAGCCCCCTACTGGGAGGGGCCCAGAGGGAGACTGGAGGGCCCTGGGGGCAGATGAGGGGAGGGACTGAGGATTTATACCGGGTGGTGGGGCGTGGAGCAGGAGGGGCTCTGCAGCCCCAAGGTTTCTGTTTTAAAACGAGGCTGAGGAGCCCGGGGATGGGTACGAAGGAAGGCACGGACTGCACGGAGCACTGGGTGTTATAGGCCAGCAATGAATCAGGGAACGCTGCATGAACACTAATCATGTCCTGGATGGTGACTAACATATTAAAAAAATGATAAAATAGAAAAAAAAAAGAAAAAGGGAAAAAAATAAAGCAAGGCTGTGGGAAGCAAAGGCTGGAGAGGATTTCTCGGGGTCCCTGACCTTGGCTGGGGATGGACATCAGACAGCCCGCACCCTGAAGCTTATCGGAGAGTCGGAGAGAGTGACAGGGCGAGCGGATTTCCCCGCTAGGTCACAGGTGGACCCTGGGCAGGTTGCTTTATTCTTTTCAGCAAACTAGGAGTGTTTGTACTCTGTGGGTTATGAGAAGTCCAGGCAGAAGGTAAGTGGGGATCTGTGCAATATGTGCCCACGGGCAGACCTACATGCCCACGGACAGATGGATGTGCACACACGTGTGCGCCTGCTGATACACAATGAGCTGAATCTGATAAGCTCGGCCCCACTGCCATCGTGAAGGGAGGAAAGCTGGTCTGTAGGAGGATGAATGAGGACTGCAGTGAGCAAGCCGCACCTCCTCTTCTCCCCCGTTACACACCACACACACGCATGCCCTTGACATACACATACAGGCACACACACACATACCCGATACACTCCACACACACCTGCGCGTGTGCACGTGACACGCGTACATGCAAACACTACATGCACACACATACGGTACACACCATACACAGGCACACACATGTACAGGCACATACATCCTCCCCCATCAGCTCAAGGTCACAGGGAGGAGGTAGTCCTGTCTTCCCACCATGTCGCCTCTCCAGCCAAGGTCAGTGGCATCAAATGCTCTTCTCTGCAAATGCAAAGGGCTGGGACATCCTCACTGGGCAGTGCGGTGAATGTCGGGAGGCTCTCGGCACTCCCGGATGAACCTCTTGAGCAAATGGGACGTGTCACTGTGGTGAACCTTGTCCCAGCCAGAAAGGCCAGCGGAGAAATCTCTCTCCCCCTCTTGTTTCATCCCCTAAAAGAAGGAGGGGCACAGTGAGAAGCTGGCCCAAGGCTCTAGGAAAAGTTGTTCTACCACTTCTCTGGGCCTCCATTTCCTCATCTGGAAAGCAATAGCACCATCTCTGTGGGCTGATATGCAGAGTAAATGGCCGAACTGGGTAAGTGATGGCACAAGTTTCACCCAAGACATGCTGGCAGGCTGACTCCACCCCTGTGCCGCACGCTGCTGCCTCCCTGCTTTCCACCCTCCTGGAATTCCCTGACCCAAACAGGACCCAAGGCAGAACACAGACAAGCTGGGAACTGCTTCTCCCATGGCTTAACAGAGATGCAGCTTCGATGACATGGGGGAAACCAAAACCAAACCGTTACCTTGACCCTGGCCTGGGATCCAAGCACCCTGAGAATGCCTTCCATGTCCAGTTCTCTCTTTTCCAAAACAGGACAGCAGCTATGAGAGAAGGAAGCCAGCATTTAAACCAGCACCCCTGAAAAGTGTGATTCAAACTGGTGTGTTTGTCTCCCATGAAAACCGGGAAGAGGAGAGAGCTACGAGGAGGGTAACAGCTTTCTCAGCCACTTCCAGAAGCCAGCCCCTGCTCTGAGAGCTTCATATGCATTTCTCTTACTTAGTCCTTCATAAAAGGAGGGTACTATTATTATGACTTCACTGCACAGATCTTGACAGGGAGGTTTATGGAGGTTCAAAAATTCATCCCCAGTCTCCAAACTGGCAAGTGTCGGAGCCAGAACTTGAAACCAGGAGTCCAATTCTAAAGCCCACGTTCTTACGCTCCTGGGCTAGACATCTCCCAATGGTGGCCCCAGACACAGCCTTTCACGGGCTCAATGAGCCAAATCTGGGCACAACTCACGGCGTGAAGGACCAGCAGGACCCGGGGGCTGGGGAGGGCTCTGTGGTCAGCTTCCGGCAGGGCGTCAAGGGGCATGCCGAAAGCCATGTTTCTGTGGGAAGTCAAGAGCAGAAGGGGCATTTCATGTCGTGCAAGGCCAGTCGGGCTCTAGCCTGCAGGATCGTCTGGGCGACATGAGTCCGACTCCTTTCCCTGCGTGGGGACTGAGCTCTCCGCAGAATGGCTGAGCTCAAACTTCACATCTCTCGAGCAGAAACTTCGATCTCGGCAATAATGAAAATGTTAGCTGCATCACAGACCAGAAAGTCTCAGCTGGACAAAGAGGTGTTAAAAGGAAAAGGTGATGCTGTGTTGGGGGTTGCTGGGTAAGGTACCAGTGGTCTGGGGCAGAGGGCCTAGCCCTGCAGGCATGCGCCAAGTTCCTAAGACATATCCCCAGGTCTTCTTACTCATCCTGTCTCATAGTCTTCTGGGGAAACTTCCTCCTTCCAAATCTACCCTACCTTCCTTCTCTCTTTACTTCTCTACCCCTCTCTCTGCAAAACTCCCACCCCTGGTCTGTCTTACCCACTATGTTCTTGCTGTGTTTTTGTTTTTTTTTAAACATTTTATTTATTTATTTGACAGAGAGAGAGAGAGATCACAAGTAGGCAGAGAGGCAGGAAGAGAGTGGTGGTAAGCAGGATCCCCACTGAGCAGAGAGCCTGATGCAGGGCTTGATCCCAGAACCCTGGGACCATGACCCAAGCTGAAGGCAGAGGCTTAACCCTCTGAGCCACCCAGGTGCCCCTGTTCTTTTTTTAAGGACACAAATAAAAAATTCAGTGTGTAATGTTGACAATGATGCAGTGAAATGAACACTCTCATACATGACTGAAGGGTAACAAACACCAAGAACTTAACAGGTCTATTTCAGATAATCCAAGATGTACTCATGGTTGTATGTACAATAATAGTGGTTGTGTTTTACAATCGCAGAAACAGGGAAATAGCAAATGTCCACTAGTAAGGAAATGGCTAAATAAATTAGAATATATCCCCAAGGGGGTGCCTGGGTGGCTCAGTGGGTTAAAGCCTCTGCCTTTGGCTCAGGTCATGATCTCAGGGTCGTGGGATCGAGCCCCGCATCGGGATCTCTGCTCAGCAAGGAGCCAGCTTCGTCCTCTCTCTGCCTGCCTCTCTGCCTACTTGTGATCTCTGTCTGTCAAATAAATAAATAAAATCTTAAAAAAAAAAAAAAAGAATATATCCCTAAGGACGAAAATAATACCGTGAGTAAAAATCATGTTTTCAAAAGGAAACAACAAATGTTGGCAAGGATGCGGAGAAAGGGGAACTCTTTCACACTGTTAGTGGGAATGCAAGCTGGGGCAGCCACTCTGGAAAACAGTACGGACGATCCTCAAGATGTTAAGAACAGAACTACCCTATGATCCGACAATTGCACTACTGGGTATTTACCCCAAAGATACAGACACAGTGAAAAGAAGGGGCACATGCACCCCAGTGTTCATAGCAGCAATGTCCACGAGAGCCAAACTATGGAAGGTGCTAAGATGCTCTTTGACAGATAAATGGATAAAGAAGATGTGGTCCCCCTACACTATGGACTATTGTTCAGCCGTCAGAACCGACAGAAGGGATGAACACCCACCATTTGCATTGACATGGATGGACCTGGAGGGGATCGTGCTAAGTGAGGTAAGTCAAGCAGACAAGGACAATGATCATATGGTTTCACTCATATGTGGACATAAGTAATAGCATGAGGACCACAGGGGAAGGGAGGGAAATCCAAAGGGGGAGAAATCATCGAGGGAGATGACCATGAGAGACTATGGACCCCAAGAAACAATCTGGGGGTTTCAGAGGGGAGGAGAGTGGGGAATGGGGTAACATGGTGATGGCCATGGAGGAGGGCACATGCTGTGCTAAGCACTGGGTGTTATACTTAAAATAATGAATCACTGAACACTGCATCAAGAACTAGTTATGTACTCTACAGGGACTAACTGAACATAATAATAAAAAAATCACGTTTCCAAGGAATGTTATTACTAGTTGTAATAAATGGTAACATTGTTCCAAGTTCATTACCCAGCCTTGTAGCCACACCCTTTGCCATATGAATTTGCAGTTCTTCCCATAAAGCAACAGAAAATACTTCCCCATGGCTTTGCTAGTCAGCCAGGTGATAGCTTTGACCCATGGATCAATAAATTCCATGATGCATGCAGAGGTTTAAAATGCATTGTGTGTCAGGGCACCTGGGTGGTTCAGTCGGTTAAGTGTCTGCCCTGGCCTCAGGTCATGATCCCAGGGTCCTGGAATCGAGTCCTGCATCGGGCTCCCTGTTTAGTGGAGAGCCTGCTTCTCCTTCTGCTCCCTGCTTGTACTTTTTCTAGCTCTATCTCTCTGACAAATAAATAAATAAAATCTTTAAAAAAATAAAAAAATGCATTATGTGGTAGGGTTTGCTCTCTTGTGCTTCTGCCATTAATTGCTATAAGGACAGGCTCCAGATGGCCTGCTGGTCCCGGGCGGATGAGACACATGAAAAGCAGCCCCAGCCCCAGCCAACAGCTTGAGCCAAGGCCAGCCTAGGTCAGCCGAACCGCCAAACATGTGAACAAGAGTGAGTAATCGTTGTTTGAAATCATGAGTTTGCCGATTGTTTGTTATGAGGCATTATTGTGGCAATAGCTGAATGATACAATGGGAAATGTCCATAATTCTCTAATATTTAGTGAAAAAAAGATACACGCACACCCAGGAAGATGATGCACTGAGAGCTGACAGCACTTAAATCTGAATCGTATCTTTCCGTTTGTATTTTGCTCTATTTCCCAAATTTCCCACAATGAGCAGGTTTGTTTTCAGATGCAGAAATATACATATATGTGTGTGTGTGTGTGTGTGTGTGTGTGTGTGTGTATACACACACATATAACAGCATATATATTCTATATATAACATAATATGTTACTGTTATATGTAACAGGAAGAAATACAGCAGCTAAGCATGCTTCCTTTCCACGCAGCTCCTTGGATGAGAAATCCACAGGGTTTTTGGAGCTGGGACTGCTGACCAGTTGCCTTCCGCTTCCCTACCTTGTTCCTCTTCAGGTCCAAGCCTCACTGGTGCAGAGCACAGTCAGCTCGAGAGGGCCAGAGCAGGGATCGTCTGCATATCCTGCAGGGAGAAGTCTCTATCCTCGTCAAGCCAAGTCTGCCTTTGGGAATCCTAAACTTCTAGGGAGGGAAGTAGAGACAATCGCTCAAGGGGCCCCTGAGTGGCTCAGTCGGTTAAGCGTCAGACTCTTGGTTTCAGCTCAGATCATGATCTCAGGGTCCTATGAGCGAGTCCTGCATTGGGCTCTGCACTCAGCGTAGAGTCTGCTTGAGATTCTCTCTCCCTCTTCCCCATTCATGTGCTTGCTTGTTCTCTCTCCAAATAAATAAAATCTTTAAAAGAAAAAAAGGCAATCGCTGAAGCTGCATGTCTGGTAAGGGCATTGAGGTTCTCCCATCCCCCGCAGAAGGTTACTGGGGGGTAGGTAACAGAGGCGATGAGGACTGGGGCTCAGGCGTCCATCCCAGGTTCAAGTTTAAGTTCTATCTCTGACTGATTAGGTTGCATTCTGAGCTTCTAAATCCTCATCTCTAACCGTAAAATAGTGCCTGCCTCATAGGGTTTTGTAAAATGGGCTAAGGGGTACAAAGTACTTCTGGTGCCAAGCACACAGCGAGGCCCCAATAAACGGAAGCTGTTTTTATTACTTGCATTCCAACAGGAGGGAAGACCGCACAGGCCTCTTATCATTGCTTCTATTCCAGTCCTTTGTTGCTCTCTCTCGCCCCATCTGTCTCTGCCCTTGGCAGTGCCACCCATGGATCCAATGCTCCTCTTCCTATTACTCTGAATAATGACAGAATATTAATTGAAAAAATAAATTATGCTCAACTGCACCGTCTAGAGGCCATAGTAGGGTTCTGCGGGCAGCACGAGGCATTCCTGCAGCCAGAGGTCAAAGACAGCAAGAGGACGGACTGATGGGTTTGTTTAGTATTGCTGGTCAACTTGACCAGCGTATTCCCCAGGGCCCCATTCCAGTGCCCTAAGAAGGGAAAGGAAGCATGTGCTTGAAGGTAACAATGTTGTGGCTATCGTACAGCCTAGTGCTTGTGGTGTGAGCTGTGATGTCACATCTTCTGGGTTCAAAGTCTGATGTTCCCTATGGATTTGGGGAAATCATTTTACCTGTCTCTGTGTCAACAGTCTCACTTGTAAAATGGGGCTAATGACAGGACCTACTTCACAGGATTGGGGGGGGCGTTAAATTAGATAAAGCATATGAAACACAGTTTCATATAACTACTATAATTATTTATTTTTTCAGGGCATGATTGCCCACATAGCAGAAAGAAATGAAAATCATAAAGGTAAAGTACTGGGTATAATGCCTGATCCATGGTAAAACATCCATATACAGTATCTCCAGATTATTAATCATCATCCTTCATGGGTTAATGCGGGAAATCAAATGATCAAGGCGAGAAGGCAAGATAATGTTGAGCATTAATTATCTCTGATGCTTTAGAAATAGAAAGTCATTATTTTAAAAAAAAATTTATTTTGATGTACTGTGCTTACATAAGATATTTTCCCTGGGAGAAACTAGGTAAGGAGTACATGGGAACTCTGTACTATTTTTGCAACTTCTTGTGAGTCTAAACTTATCTCAAAAAGAAAAAGAAACATTCTATTTGTGGAGCAGAGGTTACCGGGGGAGGGGGCATATTTCCTAAACGGTGGACAGTAACAGTCCACCAGGAAGGCACTGGGTGGGGCTGCTGGGGGCTCCAGTCCTGGCCTCAGGATCAGCCGGCTCTCTCACTTCTCTCTGAACCTCACTGCTCCTTTCCTACCAGCGAGGTGGGGGTGCAGTGACAGCACCCACCTTCTAGGGTGAGGGAAGGAAACAAGCCAATGCATGGAAGCCTCTGGAACAAGGCCCAGAGCCAGCTACCTAGGGTTATCCAATGATATCAAAATATGGTCAGTGAAGAACCTCTTCCTTTTGGTAACAGCAGGACCTGGGAAAACCTATACATGATAAGAAGAGTCAGAACAGTGGCTGCCCTAGGCAGTGGGGATTAACTAGGAAAGGCACAGTGCAGCCTTCAGGGGTGCTGGAAGCGATCTAGACCTTGACCTGGTGGGAGTTAACAGGTGCACGCATCCAGCTGCACATGGCAAATATTTGCCCACCTTCCCATGCACTTTATTTCAATCTTTAAAACATAGCTATAAATGATGACGTCCTCATGTGGAAGGAATTGTGCTGGGACAGTTCAGCCCTCTGGGAGAAAGAAAAGGGCAGGAGTTGGGTGTTTCTCTTTCACACCAGACACCAAAATGAATTTTTTAAAAAACTAGGAAAAATACCTGGAGGTGGACAGTTTTCAGTTTGCTGGATTAAGGAGGACTTTCTAAGCGTAAAACAGAGAACATAAATGAACATAGAGTGAAGAAGGAGCATGAATGTCTGTAGCTCTCCGCTCCCCAGGCCCCAGCACAGCAGTTACCGGGCAGAGAGCTGTGCTAGGAATTCAGTGAGTGAACGGGGTGCCCCGCAGCTCAGCAGGGGTGAGGACGGCGATGCAAGATGTACAGGTGCCAAAGGATGGGGCCCAGCCACCACCCCTCTGGGCAGCGTGCTCACCAGCTAGGTGCCTCCCCTGAGGCGGCAGGCCCCCTGCAGGAGCCCAGCAGCATCCACAGGGATGCACCCCCGCACCCCCACTCGCTGCTGAGCCTCCAGCTCTGCAACTGGAAACAGAACAGAGAGGCACACATTCCTGGCTGCCTCCCCTCATTGACTCCAAGCCCAGAGCCCCAAGAAGCAAATTCCCAGGCTTGTGCCCTTGCGCAGGCCCACGTAACTCAGTAGTAATTGCCCAAGATTAGGATCTGAGATTGTGACTCCAGGAAGCAAGCCGTGAGGCCAAGGATTCAGGCCTTTACCCCAGCAACCAGCAGAAAGATGGAAAAACTCAGAGGGGTGCGCCCTCTCTTACCTCAGAGTGCAAGCCCCGGGGGTGCAGGTGGAGAATGCCGACGCCTGGAGAATGCAGGCCATTTACCTGGAGGAGACTTCGAGGTCCTGGACCTGAGCTGGGTCCATTTCATACCCGAGGCCCCAATCTCTGAAGAGGCGTCCTATGCAAAGGACAAACGGCTCCCAGTTAGTAGTGCAGGAAGCACGGGATGTTCGGCCGCGGGACGCAGGAGCGGTCCCCAACCCCTTCGCAGGCAGAGCCGCTGAAGCTCAGGGAGCTTGCCCAAGACCCCACAGGGGCGGAAGACCTACACGTATCATGGGAACACAGTGGCTGACGAGCATCCAGATGGGCAGTCTTGCCGTCTGTGCGCACGCGCACACGCGCGCACGCGCACACGCGCGCACACGCACGCACACGCGCGCACACGCGAACACACACACGCATGCACGTACGTGCGCGCGCCAATACAGCTCTGCCGTAGTATTGCTCTTGTGCTCAGGAAGTGATGACATCCCAGAGGCCCCAGGGAGACAGGGCCTGCCGCGACCTTATGCCACTTCCTCACCATTGATCGGAAGAACCTGCGGGTGTCCCCGACATCTCTGGCAGGTGCCCGGTATTGTCTGCAGGTTTAGCAGGCAGAGATGTGCAGCCGGCCGCACACGGCAACCGCCTGGGGCCGCGTCGGGGTGGACGGGAGCCCCTGGTGGCCACAGCCCAAGCTCTGGCCACCAAGGAGGCCTGACAGGCCTGTGTCCTGCAGCCACTGGGATTCGGCTTCTCCTGCCAACAGAGGAGAACACCCAGAGGAACACACACAGCTCCGTGCCCAGCCACAGGCACTCACCAAGGCCACATGTAAGAATACATACTCCCGTGTACGCAAGGGGCATCCACATATCCGACCACGGGACCCCCTAACACCAACCACACCTTTCAATGGGGAGATCTAGTAAGACGCCTGAGAATACAGGGGATACTGATGGGATTACCCACTAGCTAGATGTCAACACTTAACACTGCCACCACTGGGAAACAGAGCAGGCTGAGGAGGCCCCCTGTATGTACTGATTCTGAAATGTAGCAATGAACTCACTCCCTCTCCCAGATCTGGCGGAGACCACCACAGAATCACATGGGCCCTGCTTTGTAGAGTGTGGGCAAGCCGTTGGTGTCCCCTTGGAAAGTCCCTTTCTACTCAAGACCTTATTTATGATAGAAGACACCCTCCACTATGTTTCTCCCTCTGCTTCCCACCGCAAAACCGTTCATCCAGATCAGTCCTGAGACCCACCTCCAGAGACCACCCAGGAGCTCAGCCCCAGGCCCGGGAAACTGCACTTGGAACATCCTCCCCAGGTTCCTGGAGCATCTGGGAAACACTGGCCTGCTGTGTTCCTTCCTTCTTTCGGCGAACAGATGAGAGCTCAAGAAGGAAGTTGCACACACATGTGAGCCGACTGGGGGCGCGATATATGGTTGTGCCCAGTGTGACCAACTTAGTGGACCAGGTGCCAGTGGTTTAAAAACCCCAAATTGCCTTTATGGCAGGCTGGATCGCACACATAAGACAGACACCGTAGTCTTCGAACATTTCCCCTGTACTTGGGTGCCAAGGAAATGCTTCCAGGGCAGACACAGCTCTGTGGGTCCTCCCCTCTGGCAGGTGGAGGTACTGATGTCACTGTAATGCTAGGAGACTTTTCCCTCCTGCTAACCACAGGTCATTTGTGCAGATCTTTTCAATGAATCAGTGTTTCATGAAATTGAGACATTTACCTACCACCTTTATCATTTTTTTAAAGATTTTATTTATTTATTTGACAGACAGAGATCACAGGCAGGCAGAGAGGCAGGCAGAGAGAGGAAGGGAAGCAGGCTCCCTGCTGAGCAGAGAGCCTGATGTGGGGCTCGATCCCAGGACCCTGGGATCATGACCTGAGCCGAAGGCAGAGGCTTTAACCCGCTGAGCCGCCCAGGCGCCCCCACCTTTATCATTTTTATCTGTATCTAAATAGTCCCGTACAATTGTTTCCTTACTATTTTTCCCTAATCAAGGGCCACATTTTTACTTACATCTGTTCTTGGAAAAGAAACCTAATATCCTAACCACTAAAGGGAGTATCTATCACCGCAGGTATTAAGTAGAAGTTAATGAGAAACAGTGACTATATTAACGTTCTTGGCCCCGCGCCACCCAGAGGCTTCCGCTGTCCTTTGAGTCTAAAAAAGCTCCTGTGTCTATTTAGTCGTCCACATGGGTTTCTCCTTTACCCACCCCAGCCCCAATCCCTTTGATTGTGTGAAATTAGATTGCTGGCGAATGCACGATGGCCGACTGGTTTCCTGCAGCAGGGGCATCTCCCCAAACCACTTCTTCTGTGCCCAGTGATGTGCGTTCTGCACTGGAGCCGGGGTGGCAGACCATCAGGCCCTTGGGGGACCCCTGTCTCCCATACAACCACATGTTTTGGAAACCAGGGGCTAGCGTAGCTGAACTGTATTCTAAACCAAGGAGGCTTCCGTGTGGATGCTCTCTCCATTCCCTCCTTCACTGAACCAATAAAGATGGAGTATGAGAATGTGCTTGGCTTGGGTCTAGGCACTGAGGAGGCAGTGGTAAAGAAGATGGGCAATGTCCCCAGCCTTGTGGAGCGTCCCTTCAAGTCCCTGAGTGAGAAGGGCCCGGCTGAGCCCTGTCAAGCCCTGGATGATGCCGTCACCATCGTCCTTGTCGTCGTCGTCATCATTATCATCACAGTGAATGCTGCTTTACACTGCTGAGCTTTGGGTGCCCGTGCAGTCATAGGTAACAAGGACACAGTGTTGTCTGTCTCTCAGAGAGATGGGGAGACATCTAACTTGTGAGCAGAGCACTTTGAATTCCACTAGAATGTTAGCTCCACGAGGGGAGAGATTTTGCTTTGAACAGTGAACAGTGTTCACTGTTGTATCCCCAGTGTCCGGAACAGTTCTTGGCATGTGATAGGCACTCATCAATATTTGCTAAATGAATTAATCTAAGGAGGGCATGATCTAATTTACATTATAAAAAGATCATATGACTGTTGCATGGAGAAGGGAGAGACCGGACGGCTGGGAGCAAAGGGAGGGCAGGGAAACCGGTGAAGAGGATACTGCATCAGTCCAGATTCGAGGTAGAGCCCCTTCCTGTTCTGGTTCCCGTCTGGCTCCTGTCATGTTTTTCTTCCCCTTGTCCCAGCACCCAGCAGGCCCCAGCCAGGGCTCCTCACCCTCTGAAAGCTGGCTTTCACCCCCACTGCACCCTCTTCCTTCAGCTCACCCCTCTGTTGGATCCACTCGACCTCCATCCGAAAGCCATCCATGGATGAGCTCTCTGCCAAGCTATTATTTAAAAAACAAACAATAAACCAGAAAAGAAAAGAAACATTAGGTGCATTCCTCCAGCCACAATAATTGATTCAAGGAAGGGGAACATGCAGGACTTTGGCTGGGAGTTCTAGGCTAGAGACAACCAGCTCTAGCCCAGGACGCAGAGCAGGTAGCCCCACGGAGGTGGCGAGCACACGTGGTGATCCAGGCTCAGAACGAAGTGGATCCCACACTCAACACAAATAGAAAACTTAAAAACTTGGTCCTAGATGATGTCATTGAGTAGCTGAGTCACAAGAGGGTCACCTACATGGCGCGTATTCAGGAAAGATCCTCGTGGGGAGGCAGTAACCCTCCCCTTTGACAGGGGTTGGATTATTTCTGTCAGTCGCAAGTAACATGATGATAAGCGTCCTCACGTTCATTATCATGTTCCCTTGTGTAGAAGTAATAGTAGAAAAGAGTGTGAGAGGCGGATTTGTAAGCACAAAGGGTTTGTGAGATTGTGACAATTCTTGCCCAAATTGCCTTCCAGAAAGGATTGTTCTATTGGATTTGTTTGTTGTGGTCCATGTTGCAGCCTGGGGCGGGGTGCTGATTTGGTTCCTGCTGCCTCCCTGGCTTCCGTCTTGTGGGTCCTGTGCCCTTGAGTCTCTGAGGCTATATTTTGCCCATAACCTGAGATCCCACCTCCTGATGTCCCCCCAGCTTCTGGAGGTGTGATCCAGTATACCCAGGATCAGGGTCACAGATGTGGGACATGAGCAGTCACACACGGTCCCTCAGTTAGAAGGGCCTCCCACTAGGTTTAATCATTATCAGGAAATTCTTAATAGCGGTTGAATAAGAGCCTCCATGTTCATTTGACGCATGGCTTGTGCCTTTCTCCCAAGTGTCCTGCCCACACACTGAGCTCAACTCCAAGCGATAAACACTCACATCCCGAAACACACTCAAACGGGGTAAAGCCGAGAATTCTCAGGTCCTTTGGGGCCCAAGGGAAGAGGCAGGGCACCAGCTCTCCCCTGGGGGAACGGCTTGGCCATTCTCACTGAGCAGAAGCTTAACTGGGGACCGATTCCCAGTTAATTATAAAATTGGCTGTTCCACTCTATTTATGCTTTTCGAGAAAGCTGCTAGCCGGCGCCCCTCCTGCGAATCCGTTTGGTCCCGCGTGCTGGCGCTCAGTTTGGTTTCTTTAGCTGTTTTGCGATTTCGCTTGAAAATTGCCGGCATCTGTGTGTTTTCCTGACAATTTGAAAACCTCAGTGACTAAACCCAAACAGAAGACAGTAACTGTGTCTCGATTTGACAGCTGAGAGTGAGAGAGGAGCCGTTGCCATTTCTCTGGGTGAACTTTCTAAGGAGGTCAGACAGGGACCCAGGAGAAAACAGACACAAAATAAAACCCCAGCAGTTCTAAAAGGATTGTTGCGCTGAGATCACGGCGTGCAGTGCGGTGACAGATCTTCAGTTTAGCACAACTGGGGCACTCGGCACGTCCGCTAAATTCATTCCGAGCTTCACAAACACAGCCCATTTTTTGCTTTTGTTGTCAACATTTTTTTGAGGTATCATGTACTCAGAAAAGCGCACAGATCCTAAGCGTACAGCACGATGGTCTCTCGTTGTAATTTTGTTTTTAGGCATTTACTGAGCACTTAACCACACGCCCACTAAGCGATAGATAATGGGATCCTTAAGTTTAGAAGGTAAGAACTTCGGCTCAAGTGTCAGGTGTGACTTTGAATCCTAGAGCTGTTATATTAGCGAAATAACCTTGGGGAGCCTGTGAACCTGGAAAGCCTCCGCTTCCTCCTCATCCCACAGAGACCCCTAGTGTGGTTTAAGAGATACTCGGGGCAGTCAGCAAATGTGGATTGAGCTCCCGCATAGTTTCTAGAGAGCTGGGGCACATACAGTGCTGGACTGAGAGGTCCTCCACAAATATCAGTTCGATAAATACTTGTTGCTTAGGGGCACTTTCCACCTGACATTCAGACGGGACGAGTGACTTGCCCGGGCTGCCCAGCCGATGAGTGGGTTCTAGCTCTTGCTCTGCAGCAGCAGAATGATCCACGCGCCAACTGGTTGTCCCTCCAGGTGACCCATGGGAGGACGAAGATCCTGCAAATTCTCAGCTGCAGTCTGTGCCCCCTAATACTTCCTCTCTGCGTGACCGTGGATGTTTCCCTTTCTCACTCCAGGCCTTAGTTTCCATAACCGTGCAGTGGGGAAAAGGTGGTAGGGACAGGAACTTTGCAAGACAGACTT